CTTATACATAATGTATTTCACAAGAGTAAAAGTTACTCTCACACCTCAACTGCTGATGTACAGATTTTTTTTTTCACACTCCTGAGGGATAGATTAAATGTTGTCAAATGGATTTTTTTTTATAATTTTCTTTGTTTGTTTTCTAAATTTTTTTTAATTTTTTTTTTTTGCTTAAAGTATTACAAAGGGTATTACATATGTGTCCTTTTTTTCCCCGCCCTTGACAATCCCCTGTCAAATGGATATTAACCAACTCAGATTCTTAGTCCTATCAGCACTAGAGAAAAGAGAATAAAACTTCATAATCACTAAGTGGAAGCTTTATGAAGGGAACTCTATGCAACCCACTATCATTAACTTTCAGAGCTCTCAATAACTTAATCTATCCCTCAGTTAAGATATATACATTTTCTTCTTATATTTGAGTACCAAGGTACTTGGTACTTATTTGATATAAGAGCCTTAGAGCCTGCAGCTTAATCACAATAAAATATAAATTCTCACATAGAAAATAACCTTAGAAACTGAAACTCAGAAATCAGATCCACTTGAAACTTAAAATTCATCTCCAATGACCTTAAAAACTAAAATTAGTTGCTATCAGAGCATAAGAGAGTTCCCATGGTCATGATTACACTTTTAAGACTTAAAGGTCCACTTTTTTTGTTGTTGTTATTAATCCTCACATGAGGACATTTTTCCATTGATTTTTCAAAGAGAGTGGAAGGGAGGAAAAAAGACAGAGAGAGAGAAACATCGATGTGAGAATGATACATCGATTGGTTGCCTCCCACACACACCCCGACCAGAGCCAGGGATCGAGCCTGCAACTGAGGTACGTCCCCTTGACAGGAATTGAACCCGGGACCCTTCAGACTGCAGGCTGATGTTCCATCCACTGAGCCAAACCCGCTAGGGCAATGGTCCACTTTTTGATATCTAAGTTTTACTGAACATTTGCTTCTATACTAGAAAATTAATCTGGGGTAGAGAAAAAGAAGAGAGAAAAAAAGCAATTAAATTACCATTCCCTCATAATATTTCTAGAATTTCTCATTTTCTTGTTAAAAGCAGGAATAAAAAAGATGGATAACAGCAAATGAAAAGAAAAATGAGAATAGGTGTATATGGCACTTTCAATTTTTACTTCCAAAAATCTCTGCAAGCACTAGAAATAATACAAAATGAGCAATGGCACCTCTGTAACAAGTGTACCTTCAGTGAAATCACCAGCCACCACTATTTCTATAAATTACCTTGTTGAACTGTTTCAGATAAATGTAGCAAACTCCTAGGTTATGATAGATCTCCTACACACAAAAGAAAACAGCTTAGGTGTAAATTCCACAGTACATATTCGAGTGAAACAACAGTCATCTAGAGATTGTTATTGTTCAGCAAAGTTTAAACTTTAAAATATGCATTACAGTCAGTTTTTTACTAGATTTCATACTCAAATATATTTAATTCTAAAAAATGGGTTCCTTAATATAAAAAAACCCCCACAGATTATAAGACATAAAAGCAGGACAAACAAGAGATCACTCCATTTGTGCCCTCTTTTCAGAAGAGACTACCCACCGATCCTGCCCCACCCCAAGGAGATACATATACATATATGTGTTAATCGGATTCCTTTTCCTAGGAATCTAGGAATTCACTAGGTGATGTGGACTTTGGGACTGACAGCGTTTTATGGAGGGCACTATAATTGAATATATGTATTTGGAGTCAGTCTGCAAATGCAGACAGCAGAGGTCAGCAAACTAAGGTCCACAGACCAAATCCATCTCTGCCTTATTTTGTAAATAAAGTTTTATTTGTATTGTCCATGATTTTTTTCACACTAGAATCTCAGAGTTCAGTAGTTGTCACAGAGACTATATGAAGCCACAAAGCTTAAAATATTTACTAACTGGCCCTTTAAAATATAAAACATTTGCCAACTGCTGATCTACGAAAAGAAGAAATAAAACAGAAGTGAAGAGTAGCTACCTTGGTGCTGACAGCTTTCCAGTTCTAGTTCATTGCAAGACCAGCCTGTATTTCCTGGCCTTGAGCTCTATAGAACCTCTTTATTCCCTTTATAAGTCTCCCTTTACTTAAGGTAGCTTTAGAGAAAGGAGAGCATTTCTAGAGAGGAAAGCTGGATTATCAATAGGAATCAGATTAATGGCGAACTGCTTAACAGCAACACTCCCTGCCAGAAAACCATGCAGCAATAGCTGCTAAGTTATGCGGAAACATGGTTTTTGATCTTATATCTAACTGAATCATCAATTTAGTGTGAGGATCAAGACATTTTTGGCATGTAAGAATTCAGTCATAACAAAAGACAGCCATACAATAAATGGAACCATTAGCATGTTACTAATAACAAAGAACTAAAAGTTCCCGACTTACCCAGTCTTTCTGGTTAAGTTTAGCTGCTTCATTATATACTTCAATGGCAGCTTTATGTTTCCCCAAAAGAAATCTGTGGAAGAAATACAGTTTCCATAATTATTAACTCAAACCTTTTAGAAGACTAACCCCACTAGCCCCATATTTGACTCAAATTCCATCCAGCTGAAAATTCTGGAATCCTCTTCCTTATGAGCTGGTCGTGCTGGTTTGGCCAGTGAGGCTGCTGTATACCAACAGCAGAAGCTCTCTTGGTAGGGACTGCATTGGTAACAGTTCCAGTGCCTTGATCAAATTCTACACCAATTTTAGTAATTTATTTCTTCTGTAATTTATTTTCTACAGTGTACTACAAATGTAGACCAAAAAAGAAACAAACCAAATAATGTACCAGTTAAGCAAGAGCTGCCATCATTTATCACCATCATCTATTAGGGACATGCTCTTCGCTCCCAAGCCTAAGTCTATTTCCTTGATATTGGATCACGGTTCTGGAGAAAACAGGGGAAAACTAGGCTCTATGCAAAGATAGTATAGGCATAAATCACAATGTAGGTAAAAAAAAAATTAGGGATGGGAACCCCACAGAAACTTTAGTACTAGAATATTGTACTGGGGTAGTAAAGCTATTAGTGTGCCTAACAGCTTAGAAAGATTTTGGAGCCGAAACCGGTTTGGCTCAGTGGATAGAGCGTCGGCCTGCGGACTGAAAGGTCCCAGGTTCGATTCCGGTCAAGGGCATGTACCTGGGTTGCGGGCACATCCCCAAT